GCAGAGCTTACATGTTCTTCCTGTATCTTTGGTAGTGTGTATCCCGTCTCTGGTTCTGTGCGTGCAGAACTTAGATGTTTTTCCTGTATCTGTGGTAGTGTGTATCCTGTCTCTGGTTCTGTGTGTGCAAAACTACACCACTAACCCAAAACAATGGAGGATGAACAAGTCGTTTTGTTGGTTATATGGGGGATCATTTGCAATCAAAACAGAACACAGCCTTTTATTTTTCTGCAATTTATATGATCTTTCATTTTCCACAGAATAAAAAAACGGTGCAACATTATTCCACCAATAATTGCTTGTAAGTTTCACCATCAAAACCTACGACAGTTGATATAGGTGATACATCAACTTGACACAAGAGTTGCGAACCTTGGAATGAACCTTTATAAATGTTTTTGTCTAATTTTGTCGCCTGTCATGAAGGGGTTATATTGATGTCATGTAGCCTTATGAAGAGCACCTTTAGGTAAAGTGTTTGCAAATATTTTAATTAATATACTCTTGTTCGATGAAAAAAACAAATCTTTAAACATTCTTCTATCATTATGTTTGCACACCTACCAGGTTCGTGACCACATGTGGACCATAATTATGGAATCTGTCGTGCCTTCAGACAAAGGGAACTACACCTGCGTGGTGGAAAACAAGTACGGCAGCATCAACTATACCTACCAACTGGATGTCGTTGGTAAGAGCCTGCAGTGCGAGGTCACATCACCGTGGACACACCTAGAAACTAGAGCAGTGGATATTGAAGGACACTGTCTTTACTAGCACTGCGTATCAAAATCAACGCTTCCGACGGCAACAATATTTGTTTTTGCTCGTCTTTGTCTTTATATATCACTTGACTTCTATTTTCACAGCATGTTTTGCTGTGCATAGCCGTGTGAGGTTCCTAACAAACAAACAAACAAATGGTGCAATGTTTAGATGGCATGAGCATGACTTTATCCGTTTCCTGTAGAACGTTCGCCACATAGACCCATCTTGCAGGCCGGACTACCAGCCAACCGAACTGTTGTGGTGGGCAGTGATGTGGAATTTGAGTGCAAGGTTTTCAGCGACGCCCAGCCACACATCCAATGGCTGAAGCACATCAAGGTGAATGGCAGCCGACTGGGGCCGGACGGCCAGCCCTACGTACGTGTGCTGAAGGTGAGGACAGAAACCCTCGTCCTGCTCCACGTCTTCATTGCTTCCCTTCTTTGTAGACATACAAGAGACGAATCCTATTGTGGTTCACAGGGATCCATTATATGGTTACTGCATCAAAGAGCAGACATGATTTTGTTCTGCATCACCAACCGTCTATATGTCTTGGCAGGCGTTTAATTTCTGGTTGTGGTATTTTTCTAGCCTTACTGGAGTGTTGGGGGGAAAAAAAAGTAGCGATACTAATGTTTATGGGATTTAAATAGTTGACATTTAGTATTCCAAATCTTAATTTAGAGACAGTTTGATTGGAAACTGTATTTTACAAAATGTTTTACATGAGTGATTTTCCCTTGCTTAAATGTATATCACCTGCTACTATGTGTTGAGCATGGTTTTGTTTATAATGGTTTTGCCATCCCAGCAGAAACCCGGCGATCCCCCTGCAATTCTGTCCCTCTAGAACAGTTATCTTTTGGATATTTGATCTTTGATCCACTTTCTGTTTACTTCTGTATCTTTCTTGTCCCCAGCATTCGGGGGTCAGTAGCTCGGACACCCAGGTGCTGACGCTCTACAATGTGACAGAGGAGGAAAGTGGGGAGTATGTTTGCAAAGTGTCCAATTATATAGGAGAGGCCAGTCAGTCGGGCTGGCTGACCGTCATCCAGAAGGGGGCTCAAGGTAACCACCCAGGTGGAGCCACGCCTAGTGGGCGGGGCTGTTGCCAGTGGGGGGTGGGGCTATTGACTAAATGAGTTCAGATGTAGGGTACTTCCACTCGTCGTCAAAAAAGTGACAGACCTACTGTAGCTGTCTTTCTCTCAGCTATCCAGTATTTCCCATTTGTTTTCTTTTTTTTCTCCTTGCCATGAAACATGCCCAGCAGATCTGCTTGGTCGAAGCATTTTGGACCTTGTGTATGGTTCCTTCTTTCTTCCTTACTGCCTACCTGCCTGCTTTATTCCACTGCTCAATCAAGTCATACCCCAGCAACCAGAATTGGTGGACTGGATAATAATTAGCGTGATATCTCAAAATGTGTCTGACAGGTCTTTTTCAGCATTTGCAGACACGTTAAGGTTGAAGTTGTGGACCTGATAGAATTTTGAGACAAATTACACCAAAAACGGTAGCAGCAAATACAGAGTGATTTCGAAGAGAGGACCAGCTCAGACACTTCATCTTCTCAGCACGATAACTCAAAAATTATACATCTTTTCCGACTTTGCAGGCACATTATATGGTTGAAGATATGGACCTTGTCAAATTTGACCTGAGACAAATCATAATAAAATTCAAGCAGTGATGCTCAGTGACAGCAACCAGAAGGATGGGTTTTATCATCATGGACCTGGGGGGTGGGGGTGGCCACCCTTATTTCATAACATTGAAAGTGGCAAACTTAGGCTGCGTTCACACTGCAGGCCTTAATGCTCAATTCTGATTTTCTACTCAGATCGGATTTTTTGTTTGCCTGTTCACATTACTCTTTTTAATGTGGGCAATATCAAATTTCAATGTGAACGGTTCACTATACTGAACTGGCCCGCATGCGCACAAAACAACAAAGACACGATGCACATGCGCAAAAACAAAGACGTCACTTTATTGATTCGAAAACTGCCCGGTTACGATATGAACCTTCCAGTTTTGCCTGAACAGATTTATCTCCCGAAATACTTATTAAATCCAGCACCTCACTCTCCCTCCACTGGCCAGCTTCTCTCTCCATGTTTGGCACTCTGACGGAGACATATGGTGACTTCCGCCTGCGCAGAATTGTGACGAACTTCGATCGAGAGTGACGTAAAAGTCGCATGAATGCCAATTTCGCTGTTCAGATTGAGGTCACATTGCAAAAAATCAGACCTGTATCTGATTTATGACCACATACTGAAGTGGCCCAAATCGGAATTGAAAAAATCGGATTCCATGTGACTTGTGCTGTTCACATTGTCTTGAAAAAATGCGTTCTGAGTCGCATATGAGCAAAAAATCGGATTTGGGCTACATTTGTCGTGCAATGTGAACGTAGCCTTAGTGAAGGTGGATAGTTTGTATTATTTGCATGTCAAAGAGCAGACAAGACTGAAAACAGAGGCTGCAGCCACTGTCTCATCACTACAGCCATTCAGTGGATCTTTTTGCAAGTTTCCTTGTACTTCGTCTTTCACACTGGACCACAAACAATTCTTGTATGTTCGCACATACTGGCAATAGTTCTGATTGGGCTGGGTATCGCTAAAGAGCCAAAGTCTTTCACAAGTGCCCAATTGGATTCAATTTTGATTATATTCAATTTATGCTTAAGACACCTTCACTAATGTGCGATTAAACTCGATTTGTTGTAAAAACAGTGACTTCAGGCACTGCACTGCAGTGAACAAAACAAAACAACAGAACAAACTACAGAACAAAACAACATAGTTGGTTAAACTACCATTATATGACGAAAATAAGATATCGAAACAATATATAATAATAACCATGAAATTATTTTTTTTTACTTGCCCATGAATACATGGAAATATTTTGTCCACTCTTTCTCCTCTGCAGTTTTTGTACCCGGCCAGAAATAAATTCTCCAATCTTTTAGTTGCGTTTACTGGCTTTACTGTTACCCACATAGTTTGGAAAAAAAAACAGATAACAGTATTTTCATAACCGATAGCAGGTCACATCCAATAATATCCATTTTTGTCTAACATTTAACGGTTTATTTAATTTATTTTGCATTTACTGTATATAACGGTTGGGCCCCACCTCGTGCCCGTAGCTTCTGGGATAGGTTCCGGAACCCCCCGTGACCCAGAAAGATAAGCGAGTTGGACAATGGATGGATAGATGGATGGATAATACTTGGGTTTTGACATGGGGGTGGTTTTGACAGTTTGGGGGCGGGTTCATGGCCGTTAGCAAATGCTATTGGCTGATGGCTCCTGGTTTTGTGATTGATGGCACACTACGAAAAGCTTCACCAGGAGCCTCTTCAGAAGTGAATGTATGCTCATAAGAAAAGAGTTAAAATTTAATTTAATTATTATTATAAGACTAATAAATAATGGTTTGCTTTTAACTTGGCTAACTGTCAACGTTCCACTTCGTCCTCAAACCATGTGATAGTCGCAAACAAGTTGGCTCCTTTACGTGAACGATTTTTTTTTCTTTTTTGTTAGTTAATTAATACGAGACCATAATAATAATCTTTTCACAACACTGCTTGGCCACAGGCCCTCCATGCACTGGCTCATGCTGCTGTTTTGCACATTGCAATTTATTATTTATTTACGTGGCACATCGTGTTCTGAGTGTGATTTTGTTTACCATGGCCCGCGAAATGTTAAAACTTGCAAGTTTATATTTTTCACATTGTGTTTTATCTCTGTCTAGTTTTGATATTGGTATGACACCGTAAACTCACCATGTAAAGTATTAGATCGGGGTCACTGAGTACTCAGGCTCATAGGGCCTAATAGTTGCCAGCATTCTGTTCCAAACTTCCTCTGGCATTAACCCCAGCGCCAAAGCTGTATGCCAGGAGCTTCATGGAATGGGTTTCCATGGCCGAGCAGCTGCGTGCAAGCCTCACTTCGCCAAGTGCAATGCCAAGCCTCGGATGGAGTGGTGTAAAGCACACCATCACTGCACACCACTCTCAGGACTCTGGAGCAATGGAAATGTGTTTTGTGGAGTGAAGTATCACGCTTCTCGGTCTGGCAGTCTGATGGATTAGTAAGGATTTGGCAGATGCCAAGAGAACGTTACCTGCCTGACTGCATTGTGCCAGCTGTAAAGTTTGGTGGAGGAGAGATAGTGGTATGGGGTTGTTTTTCAGGTGTTGGGCTCGGCCCCTTAGTTCCAGTGAAGGGAACTCTTAATGCTTCAGAACACCAAGACATTTTGGATAGTTCTATGCTTCCATCTTTGTGGGAACAGTTTGGGGAAGGCCCTTTTCTCTTCTAGCATGACTGTGCCCCAGTGCACAAAGCAAGGTCGATAAAGACATGGTTGCCTGTGTTTGGTGTGGAAGAACTTGACTGACTTGCACAGAGTCCTGACCTCAACCCTATCGAACACCACTGGGATGAACTTGGATGGATATTGCGAGCCAGGCCTTCACGTCCAACATCAGTGCCTGACCTCAAACATGCTCATCTGGATGAATCAGCAAAAATTCCCACAAACACACTCCAAAATCTTGCGGAAAACCTTCCCAGAAAACTGGAAGCTGTTATGTTTGCAAAGTCATAAAAGTTCCTGTGTGTGTAATGACCAGGTGTCCCAATATTTGTGTCCATATAGTGTATCTTTTGTTTCATTTCATCTCGTGTCTTGCCGGTTCAGCAAATAACATCATTTGCATAGCATTTCAGCATAGGTTCAGAAGCACATAATAATTCAGGCACCATTCATCATAATAATTTGAGTTCAACATTTAAGGAGTTGTCCTGTGCGACTCATTCTCTTTTCCCTGCTTGATTTATGCAAGTGCTATGGTTTTGCATCACTCCAATTTGATGTGTCCTCTCTTCATCCTGCTGTACCTGTTTTGATTTCATATTCTAATATTCTGTGTGTGTGTGTTGGTTCTGCTGGGGTACATTTCATGTAGCCTTCTGATGCATGTAGAAAATGTTGGGCTGTGGTATTTGTGGGTAGAGCAAACTCCAGCCTCCCCACCTTTGTCAGACGGTGATGGGTCAGTATCTTGGCCAAGCGCTGAGTGGTCTCCTCTTATTGCTCGAGCTTGTTCCTCTATTCCCCAGCTTTCAGAGGGATGTCCTGGGAGACCAGGATTGGGACAAAGGGGGAGCCACCTCTTCTCACGGCCCCCCCTCCCCCGAGATGTCAAAGCAAACCTGGTTGGCATCTTCCTCTCATATCCTGTGTTTTTTTTTTTTCCTCTCTTCCTTCTCTGGGGACTCTGTCGCCTTTTTTCAGACGGCGGGGGTTAACACCACGGACAAAGAGATGGAGCTCCTACAGCTGAGGAATGTGTCCGTGGATGACTCTGGGGAGTATACCTGTTTGGCGGGCAATTCTATTGGGTTCTCTTACCACTCTGCTTGGCTAACCGTTCTCAAAGGTATTAAGTGGTTACTTTTGCACCCTCTTCTTAACATGGTTTTCTTGGCCTCCTTTGCTGTCCGTTTGTCCTCCTGAAATCCCATCAGATGAAGTGCCACCCCAATTAGCCAGCTTTTTATGTGAATGTTTTAATGAACAAAACTTCCCCCTTTCAGGGGTGGTTCAAGCCCCACCCTCAGCAGAGTGGTCACATGTCCATGTGCCTTTAATCATGCCCCTTAACCCACAGCTCCATGGGCACTGCACACTGGCTGACCCTTCACTGTGATCCCAAGCTTGCTCTCTCCTGCAGCTGTGTCTGTGTGTCTCATGGGGAGCAAAATCGGATAGGCAGAGAGCTGCATTCCAGTGTACCTGCACTCATACTTGTGCAAAAGGATCATATAATTTTTCACGAGACTGTCCATGCATAGCTACTGCTGCTGGTTGTGTACAGGTGGGAGTCATAACTCTACTTGATGGTGGCCAGTTCTACAGTAGTATAGCCTTTGATCACCTAAAGAACTGAACTAAAGTGAAGTCAAATTAAATTAAAGTATGTAAGTACTATAATAAAGTATATCTTACCTTGGAAGTTACATTTAACTAACCACTTAATATGAGCAGCTGTTTTCTGTCAGCTGTGTGAAATTGTCTGGCAAAACGATGGGGAAGACTTCATTAAAACTTATAATTTTACTTGTTCTTCCTAATTGTCCCAGCTTTTTATGCTTTTGTGCTGCTGTGAGAGGGTCTGTCTAGCTGATGTGATTTCCTAAAAGGGCATTCAGCTCTTCAAGGTGCACCTTGATAATCAAGTGGCTTCTGCTGAACATCAAACTAATTTCCAGAGTGAAATTAATGTTGATTAAATTATCAAGGTGCCTGTCTTTCAGTCTTTGTTCATTTATATAGTGAAGAGGCTCTTTTGTTTGGGTTTGTTGTCATTCAGTTTGTCATATAAAGTAATATGAACTGTATCATTTGTAAGTCATGTTAACAGTGACCTATTATAGAGATTTCTAGGTATATATTTCAGGTGATATTCCACTCATATTTTCTAAACCCTAGTAGAAACATCAGGAACTAGTAGTCTCTAGTAGAAACGTTAAAGCCATGTTTTTAGTCATTTATAAACACGTTCCTAATGCATTCATAAAGATTATAAACATGGCTATACAAATTTATAAAAAGGCATAAGATACTATAGCTATGTTCATAATGTATTATGACTGCCTTATGAAGTTCTCATCTGTAATGCACTATAGATACCTTCATAATGCAGTAAAATCCTGAATTCTTATACTAACCATTATAATGCATTATGAAGTTATTTATAGTGCATTATAGATAATAGCTTCATAAAGCATTCGTAATGCATAATACACAGGGCTATAATTTGATATGCCTTTTGATAAACATTTGTAGCCATGATTATAATGCTTTATGAATGCATTATTATTTGCTGTGAATGTGTTTTATAAATTACAAAAAACATGACCTTAAGTAAAGTGTTACCAAATGTCTGTATGACTTGAGAGTTCTTATTCTGTTTTGAAGGAGTTTTACTGAATTTCATTGGGAATATCACCGAATCCTAGACCACCACCACGTAAAGTGGGCAGAGAGGTGGTCATTAGTGATACGGTAGTGCAAACAGTTGCAGCTCTGCTATCCTGCAAGGTGTGTGTGTGTGGCTGAATGGCAGATGTGTACATGTCTCCTTTTAGTAGAGTTTGCAGAGCAGTTAAGTGTTTTTACTAAAGTGATATGCTTGTAATGAAAAAACAGTCCTACATGGTTGAAAAAAGACGGGATATAAAGAATAAAAATGAAAACTTGCCCCCTGTGAGCTGTTGCTGTGTCTGTGATAGTGCGATGGTCTCCTGAAGTGTCCTGCACACGACTGGCCTCCTTCCTGCTCATCTGAGGCCCGGCTACAGCTCACGCCGCTGGAGAATGTGGGGCGAAACCTAAAGCCACAAAGGCTCGTTTTATAACCCCCACAATAGGACCTTGTGCTTACAGCTCTGTGCCAATTGGGTCAATTGTACTGGCTGTAATCACTGTAGGGTTTCTGTGTATTAGGCTGCTTGCATCACAGGCACATACAGCTGTCCGACCTGCTGTTTCAGGGCCCTGTGACATTGTCGTGTGTGTGTGTGGTTGTCCTCGGCGTTGTCATGGTACCATGGTTGTATGCTGGCAGGATTTGCTTTACACACTGGTGATGACATTGATTTCCCCTTCTGCCCCCGCGTGCCCCAGCCAAGCCACCATCTCCAGTGCCCAGCCAGACCTACCTGGAGGTGCTCATCTACTGCGTGGGCTTCTTCCTTATCTCCGTCATGGTGGCCATCACTGCAATTTTCAAGATGCGCAGCGCTTCCAAGAAGAGCGCCTTTGGTGACCAGCTGGCTGTGCAGAAACTGGCAAAGAGCATCCCCCTGCACAGACAGGTAATAGGCAGTGGATGGGGGATTTGATACACTCACCCCTGTCTGTCCGGCCTGTCACCAGTGATCATGCCCCACCCTTCAGATTGGTATCTCCCTTGTCTTATTTCATGTATGTGCGAAACTGACTGATTACTTAGTGCTATGAAGCTGAGAGCCAGTGAGGTGCGTGGAATGACCTGACTTTGTGCAAAGAGCAAGCAACCGGTTGCTTTGCTTGTGCTCGTTACATTGATATGTCCATACATAATCACTCTCAGTAACGCGTTTAATAACTTCGTTTTAGTGCTTCTCCCTCATTCACGCGTCTGCTTGCACTGCCCCTTCCAGAGAGTGACCTCCTCTGCACCTCCTGCAGGTATCCGTGGACTCCAGCTCCTCTCTCCATTCAGCGGCTATGCTTGTGCGTCCATCACGTGTCTCCTCCAGTGGCACTCCAATGCTCTCGGGGGTGTCGGAATACGAGTTACCCCAGGACCCACGCTGGGAGGTCCCTAGGGAGAGGTATGTCCCATAGCCCATAATAAAGCCCTGCACTAATCTGGCTTGTGAGAGGAGCCTGCTGTCCTGGGTGCTGATCCACTGATCCCAGCCTGCAGAGTTTCCTGCAGAGAGCAGTACTGATTCATGAGCGTGTTTTTGCAGGTTTTTGTTCCGCTAATCAGACTGTTTCACTGTATGGATCTGGCTCTGTGGGTGAAATCTCGTGGCTGGTGGAAGGATGCCCCCCCGGGACACTTTAGCAAGGCCCTTAATTGTCACTTGCTCCAGGGTGTATAAGACGCTGTCTGACACAGAGCTCTGACCACAAAACCTGCTCTCACTTGTATATGCATCTGTGTGTCTCATAGAGAGCAAGATAGATTATGAAAAAAATACCAATTTCTCTGCAGGAGTGAAAAAAGTCTCACTGTGCTATGGAACTACAAGTACTTTATTTATGCCCTTTAATACAACATTAATTTGATATTAGTACTACATTAATTTGATACTTTTATCCAAAGCAACTTACTCTAGAGGGAAGAGTTACAATTTCTGTGTGTTCTCTGGGATTCAAACCTATGACCCTTGTGTTGTTAGCAAAATGCTCTACTTATTCGGCTACAGTAGCTAATAATGTTGAATGGTAGGAGCTAATTAGTTTTACTGGTTTTTTTGTATTCTGAAATCAAATTTTAGCAAGTCTGAGGAGCTCTGATCTTCCAGTAGTGAAACCAGAGCGGATTCCCATGGAAAGTTTCATTCAGCTTTTAAGTGGTCGGACTGAAGCCTCCACTGATCAGTGTCCAGAAGCTCTGGCTGAGCCTTGACAGTGATGTCTGTCTGCCAGCAGCAGAGCATATATATGCACGACCGATATCATGCAGCTTTTCGTCAGGCTTTGGGATGAGTGCCTTGTGCCAAGGTTATGCTGGTTTCAGACCATTGAATTTAATGCTTTTATGACATTTGCGCTACCATCTGTTGACAATTGTGTCCTTGCTATTGTCACCATAGGATGAATAAACCTGTAGAAGCCTTTTCTTGTTTACTCTTTGAATGTCTACAGTCACACAGAATCATAAATATAACCGTGTACATAACAGATGATATACCAGCTCAGTCAACAGTACATGATCACTTTAGGACAGTTGAAGTGGCACTTTGGGACAGCTGTGGGACTGTAGCCAGACTAATAAAAAATGATATGCTGAGTTACATATAACCTTAACACGGATCTTGCCTAGCTTGGATGACTTCTTGCAGACAGCACAATAGGCTTCTTGGTCATATCCACTTCCTGGTCACATCCATGGAAATATTGGTTTTTGAACTATTTTGGATAGTTAGCTTCATATTCTGAATTAAATTTTCTAACTGTAATGTCCAGTAGTTTTTAATCACAAATGTCCAATGCACAGGCAGAGCAGACCCCCCCCCCCCCGTTCTTATACTAGTGTCAGTGTTGTTCAGCAGTAATAGTGTGTGTGCTCTGCGATGGGTCAGCGCCCCATCCGGGCTTATTCCCTGCTTTGTACCTGTACCTTCTGGGATAAGTTTTGGATCCCTGTGACCCTGAATTGGATAAGCAGGTGCAAAAAAATGGATGGATGGTTTTTCAGCACTGCCCACATCCTCATCATGTCTGCCATGTCATCAGTAGTTATCTGTTTTGCACACACAAACCATAAGGAGTTTCTGGGCAAGAAATCCAGTAAAACTTCCAATCGCGGTGATGGGAGCCGACCTACCAACGCTACTCTCTTACTTTTATGATGCGGGTGGGTACATGAGGCTGCTCTTTTCTCATATTTGGAAGGCTTTTTTCAAACTGAAAATCAGTGTTCGCACAAAAGAACAGCAGCTCCATTGTTTACGCCAGAGACCAACTGCTGAGCCTCCGGCTCCATGTTACAGCCAACGAGGGGCGTGAAACTGAGGAAGAAATACCAGGGCTGCGGGGCAGGAAGGAGACGATCAGTGAGGAAAGGAGATACAGACTATATCTTCCTTCCATCACAATGGGAAACGTAAGATCACTGGCCGAACAAGATGGATGAGTTAATAGTACTAGTGCGGAAATGGGAGACGTTTATGTGAGAGCTGTGTATTGTTTTTTACGGTGACATGGCTGCACTGCACAATCCAGTGCATAAGCCAGTGCATAAGCCTCTCGTTCAGCAGAAGCCAGTAACCTGCAGGGCTGTGAGGAGCCGGTCCCAGGGTACCATGGAGACACTGTAGGACTACTTTGAGTTCAGTGGGAATGAGGAGAAGACCGATGGGCACACTTACTGCATAACTACATTGTTATATGGAAAACACAAGGATGTTACATTGTTTCTCCATCAATAAACCAAGGACATCAAGGCAACTCTGAATCTGAAGAAGATGGTTTTAAGGAAGAGAGACAGAGAAGTGATAAGGAGGACACAGGAGGAACTGGGAGAGAACATGAAGGAGGGGAAGGACTGTTACAGGTGGACTTAGAGATGAAACTCCAGCAGTACAACACCAAGGAGGTGTGGAGGGGCATGAAAACAATCACTGGACACAAGCAGAACAGTGGCTGGGTGACTGAAGGTAATCTGGACAGAGCAGACAAGCTAAACCGGTTCTTCAAATGGTTTGACGAGGAATTGGAAAACCACCAAAAGTCAGGCTCCTACACTCCCTGCCTCCCTCAACCTACCTTCCCTCCCCTTCCTCCTATGCCTCTCTTCAGGATTACTACATAGGGTACAGCGTCAACATCAGGGACGTGAAACATCCCAGCAGAGCTGGTTAGAGAAGAGCTGAGCCGACTGCCACCAGGCAAGGTGGCAACCTAGATGGCAGCATCTCAAGCATGCTTAAGAGGTCTGCCACCCTGCAGTGCATATTAGATATGGGGATCTTCTGTCTGTTCCCCATACCCAAGAAAACTCACCCCACTACACTCGATGACTACAGGCCAATGGTACTAACGTCTCATGTCACAGTCACAGAAGAGACTGGTGCTGTCAATGGACATTGGACCCCCTGGCACACAAGGGCGTTAAAAATGCTATAGTCTTCCTGCTTCACATGGATTATATATGGAGATGACTCAAAAACCGTTTGAAGGATGTTTTTCAAATTTTGGAAAACACTGTATGAATAAAACTCAAAAAGCATTTGATGCATCTTTTTAAAACTTTGCAAAGGAATTGTATTGTTACCTAACTGGAACTGATTACATTTTGAGACAGATCACCCCAAAATTGAAGCAACGTTTAAGGCATTAACAAATCATCAGTTTGTTAAAAATAATTGTTTCTTAGTTTTGCTGGTCATTTTAAATAAATCATTTAAATGTGAAAATCTGAGGTATTTGCTTAGTCTTCGATTAACAGTTTTTGAATTTAGATTCATGGATTAGAATTGAACTCATGTTTATCTGGACTTGCTGTTTTACTCACGTCAGCTTCACATCCCCTGTTGAACTTGGTCTTGACTCAGACCTGATTTGTTAATGATATGGAGTTGACTCAGACTTGACTAAAATGGATGTGAACACAACACTTACATCAATGACCTATATGTCTATACATACAGTACGTATTAATAATTGTCCATTTATAGTGCAATGGAACAAATAAATGGGCCAATAACTGAAAACTGAAAGTGACGCGCCTGCTGTACTGCTGCTCTGCCTGTGTCCTGGACATAAAACGTCTGATATAAAAATTACCTGGCTTGCTTTTGTTGCAAGATATTGCAGCCAGAAAACTGAATTTTGAATATAAAGCTAACTTTACTGTGTTAAGCTACATTTTTTGGTTATATTAATTTGTCTCCACACGTACCTATCCTTACAAGGTTCCGCATACTGTAGTTGAAGCAGCATGTTAACACACACATAAATGTGAAAATCTAAATGAACATTAATCCATCCTTTAATACATTTTCTATACTCAGTTGTCCTATGCAGGGTCGCGGGGGTCCAGAGCCGGGAAGGTTTAGGCACAAGTCAGGGAATAAGCCAGGAGTGGGGTGCCTTCCCATCGCAGGACACACACACCCCATTCAAATTCACATTCACACCTACGGACAATTTGGCAACTCCAATTAACCTCAGCATGTAGTTGCACTGTGGAGGGAAACCAGAGAACCCAGAGAGAACCTCACAAGGACGTGGTGAGAACATGCAAACCACACACATGTAGAGCTGAGGCAGAAACGCGAACTCTGGTCCCAGAGGTGTGAGGCCATTGTGTCACGCCTGCACAATACTCAATGTAAACAGTTTTGTTTCTGAATTTAAACAGGTATCATATTTAAGACTTTGTAACACTATTTAAAACCTTGATTTTTGCAAATTTGTATTAGTGGTTTTTAAAGCCTTTTAATGACCCAGGGAAACCCGGAGTGTTTGTATGACACCTAGGTGTCTGCAGGCAGCGTGGTGAGGCTACGGTGCTCTGTCTTGCAGGCTGGCCCTGGGGAAGCCCCTCGGAGAAGGCTGCTTCGGGCAGGTAGTCATGGGAAAGGCCATTGGTCTGGACCGGGAGAAGCCCAACTGCGTGACCAAGGTGGCAGTCAAGATGCTGAAACGTGAGTGGCTGGAACTTTTGGGGGGAGCAGTGGGTTGGACAAAGAGAACCTGTCCTCCAATGGTCTTAATGAAGAGGAATTGCCTGTCCATCACTTCGATTTTATTTCTTTTGAGGCTAGAGAAGTGTGGGTCAGGAATAATGTAGTTTTTTGTTTTGGTCTCAACTTCCCATCACACTGGACTCTTCAGACAGTTTGGTCTGATAGTTATTTATCTTGGGCTGAAGACAAAATGGGAAGAGGAGTCATGTTGTTAATGGTATGTTTTACTAAGGTTTTTCTGTCAAGGAAAGTAGAGGGGGCAGTGAAATGAGGTGGCAGCAGGACAGGAATTCAGTGTAAGCCACAGATGGCAGGGAAAGCCATCCAGAACCCGGCCTGAAAACAGGATGATGGCTTGGGTGGAGGATGAGTGCTCTAGAGACTTGCGGGACTGTGGTTAACTCAAACATGTCTGTCAGTTTTTTAAAACCAGATCTGAAGTGACAGTCACCCGAGACGGAGCTTTCTCAAACTATGTAAAACTAAACAAGATTTATCAAAAATTGCAATAGGCATTAATGTGTGTGGCCTGCTTCTCCCAATCAGCCGATGCTACTGAGAAGGACCTGTCAGACCTGATCTCAGAAATGGAGATGATGAAGATCATTGGCAAGCATAAGAATATCATCAACTTGCTTGGGGCCTGTACCCAAGACGGTTAGTGAGAGAGAAGCAAAGTGGTGTATTTATATATAAAAACCCCAAATCATTAGTTTCAGTGCATTATTGCACTGTTGCTTTAAGTGTTGTTGAAGTAGCAGTATGTGAAACCGAAACACAGCTGTGTTCGTAGTTCAGAACTGGTGTCCACTCTCGTCTTTACCAGGGCCCTTTTATGTGATCGTGGAGTATGCATCAAAGGGCAACCTACGTGAGTACCTGCGTGCACGGCGCCCCCTAGGCATGGAGTACTGCTACAATTCAGACCAGGTGCCTGTGGAGGACATGTCCATCAAAGACTTGGTCTCCTGTGCCTACCAGGTGGCACGAGGCATGGAGTATCTAGCCTCGAAAAAGGTACAATCGTCAAGCAATGCCGTTAAGTTAGGAGTCAGCTCTATGTTAGGCACAGGTCAGGAATTAACTACTGCTATTGGGGGGCAGTGTATCCACAGGGACCTGGCCGCTCGCAACGTCTTGGTGACAGAGGACAATGTCATGAAGATCGCTGACTTTGGCCTTGCCCGAGACATTCATCACATTGACTACTACAAGAAGACCACTAATGTAAGCTTGGATTGCTCTGTAACAGCAGAATGACCTTGGGAAAACCTAACATTTCAGGAAATGTGTTTATCCTCTTTCCACTTTAAGTAGTGATTTCCAGACATTTTGCAAATCTTTAATTTTGATATTCCCATTGATTCTAACATTAAGCAGATGACTAAGGTCAGTCATTCCCACCGATCACTGGAGACTGTTGTTTCTTTGGCCTTCTGATCTGTGAATGGGGCCGTGTGTCTCTCCTCAGGGCCGCCTTCCGGTAAAGTGGATGGCGCCAGAAGCCCTATTTGACCGGATCTACACACACCAGAGCGATGTGTGAGTTCTTCACCCTTTGTTCCTGCCCGATGATCCATCTTCCCTCCGGTCTCAGGCACTAACCAGATGCCCTGACCTGTGTGATGTGTTACAGGTGGTCATTTGGGGTTCTCCTGTGGGAGATCTTCACACTGGGTGGCTCACCCTACCCAGGAGTTCCTGTGGAGGAACTCTTCAAGCTGCTGAGGGAGGGGCACCGCATGGACCGGCCGTCCACCTGCACTACAGAGCTGTAAGTAGGTCTTGTTGGATGTCAAAACTAAGGCTGAAAAGAATTATTATTTTGATAATTGATTTAATCAAATGATCATGCTATCGACTGATTGATTAGTTGTGCCAAAGAGAAGTGCAAATGCTTTGTTTAAAAAATAAAAACTACAGTATTGAGACAGAATGGCATAGAAACAAAGATTCGCTGTCTGCACATTTTGTTTTGCGTAATTGCTTGCTAGCAATCATATTATATACCGCAGTATATGGTATTTTTATATTTTCAAAAATAACGTTATTCTAGCATTTTGAAATCTTGGCAGTTACATTTGCCATACAGGGGTTCCCAGCTAATTTTGTTAGCAAAATTTCAAAATACTGTTGAATACTGTATTACCAGCCGAACCTATTAGCAACTTTGAAACTGTTTATAAAAAGTTTACCCATTTACCCACTGCTTATATTTGTGCTTGTTCCAATACATCTGCCCTCTGCTGGTCTGGCGGAATACTAGTGCTGTATGCGACCGTCTGCAGCCACTGACAAATGTAGTACACACGAGTCTGCTCGCACAACCACGTGTGGCACACGGGAAAGTGAAGGCTTAACACACCAACATTAGCATTGCTAGATGGTGATGTCATTTTTTGAAATTTATGTAACCACAAAAATGCAACCAGTCGATGACAAAATTTATTGTTGACTATTTTTATTAATAATTATTGTTGACGTTATTGATTAGTTGTCGCAACCCAAATCAAAACGTACTGAAGTTGATGAGTATTAACCTCATTTTATAAACCTTTAATTATTAACTACTAACATTTCTCTTCCTACATCCCTGCTGTCTCCTCTTCCTCCACAGGTACATGATGATGAGAGACTGCTGGCATGCCGTGCCCAGCCAGAGGCCAACGTTCCAGCAGCTAGTGGAGGACCTGGACCGTGCGCTCACTATGATGTCCCACCAGGTCAGTCCGGCTGTCGGGGTTAGCTGTCTAGGAGCCTGTAATTATTCGGTGAGCAGAGGGATAAGCATCAGGAAGTAAGGAATCACAAATATGATGTAATAAACTGGATGTTTAGAAAGAGGTGGACCTTTAGGTTAGAAAGGTAGGCCTCTTGTTCGGAGGTTAACTGCAGTCCATTCTCATCCACTCATCTTTCCCTTTATTTTCACCTCTGCCTTTTTCCTCCAGGAGTACTTGGACCTCTCTAAACCCCTGGACCACTACTTTCCAATCTGCCCAGACACCCAGAGTTCCACCTGCTCCCTGGAAGCCGATTCTGCGTTCTCCCGTGATGCTGCCGCTGTGGGGCCGCGCCTGCCCGCGTTATTATCACAGACCGCTGGGCAGGCCTTCCACAGGCCCTGATAGGCCTGTCGTGTGCCGTGCGCCTGCCTCTCTTTGTGTCGGCACAACCGTTGCTCATTCTGTGCCTGGAGAACAGCAGCCTATGGTGTTATGGTGAGCCGTGATGCTTTGGCAACAGACAGACTTTACCAGAGACTGTGTTGTACCCTATTGGTCTATAACACTCTACTACAAGGAATGGACTTTTGACAGGGAAGAAGAAAATTCGACGATGGCTTCCTTTTGGCATTGGTTTTTCTATTTTCATTCAGGATAAATAAAAATTATTAATGTGGCTTTGCAGAATATGACCGAGCAGCATACATTATTTTGTAAATATAGTTAGAATTGTAGCAATTTATGTATATATATTTACACCCTATACCTAGGACACTTTATGAAAAGTGGCTCACCTTCTTCAAACTGTCATAACGATGTTCCTTTTGATAGCTTCTGTGATCTAACAGATGTATTAATCACCTTCCCCTCATTTTCTTTCCCTTTAACTTGCTCTCAGTATCAGCTGACATTTGCTTCACCAGCAAAAGGAAATCTTGCTGCCAAAGTGGAGCGTACACTTTGATACGCTTTGAGGGGGGAGCCTGGCTGCCTTGGGGGGGGGGGGCAGAGCTAATTAGCGTTTGTTCACATCACTCGTCCATCCTTTGGATCTGCCTTCTTATTCCTCTGAATGAAACTTTTTTTTTTTTCCGTGAGGCTTGACCACGCTCCATCATCCCTTCCTCCAGTTTAGCCTGTCCTGCACCCTATCCCTACGTTCCATGGTTCGGTCCATCATCCCTTCCTCCGGTTTAGCCTGTCCTGCACCCTATCCCTACGTTCCATGGTTCGGTCCATCATCCCTTCCTCCGGTTTAGCCTGTCCTGCACCCTGTCCCTACGTTCCATGGTTCTGCACCATCTGAACCACGCTGGTTTTATAGAAAGCTTGTAAAAGAACCACTTGGAAATACATGATTCTCTGTGTCTCGCTGCTGAAATGGTTAGTTACTCTGAGCGGACAGGGGGTGGAAGGGGTGGGGGCAGCGTCTCCACCCACCACAGCCCCCCCCCCCCTTTTTATTCGGCTTGGACAGCATGCAAAGCAAGTTCTGACATTAAAAAAGAAAATGAAAATAAGAACATCTGGTGGCTCTTGTGGTTTTTGGTCACTCTGGGTCAGTGTGTTTGTTTGAGAAGTATGTTGATTAAGTAAACAGCACTCTGAGAAGATCAGTGTACCCACGGTTGGCTGAAAGAGAAGAACACAGCCATGATTCATAATGAATTATCTCATCATTTATTTTTCATTTGTGAGTAAAGGGAGAACATACGTAACTGGGGTCAGACATCAGAACCATAACCCTCTAAGTGTGGTCAGGGTGCTATGCTTTGACCCCTTAAGTTCCCAGTCATGCATAACTGGAAATAAGCTGAACAGTATTAGGGACCTTTCCCAAGATTCATCCACCTGCAGGTTTCTCTAGTTTAATAATGCTGTACCAGTCCATGCTGTTGATGCAAATTCCTGCTTTCTTAATCTGAAGCACATATTATGGATTTCTGATTACTTAAAAATGTATACAATAGTAGCTATTTAGTTTCTCCTGCTTTCCATGTATATGTTGTGTGGTGCTGTAGGTTAGGATTCTGTGTCTGTGATTAGAAAGTCACTGCTTCACATCCCAAGGTCGCCAGAGTGATTGCACCGTTGGGCCCTTCAGTAAGGCCCTTTCCCTAGTTGCTCCTGGGACTGGCAGACACTGCATCTTCAGTTGCATGTCACTCTGGATAAAGGCATCTGCGAACTAAATTGAAGTATCTATAATGGAATTAACACTGCAGCAAGACAAAGAAGTGGCAGTGCCACATCTGCCAGCCGGTGAGTAATCCTTCTGAGATGAGGAGTCAGGTTTGTTTTCAGGCTTGAGTCAGGCTTGAGTCAGGCTTGAGTCAGGCTTGCATGCTGTTACCTGTGGCTGCCCAACATGCAGCTGATACCCCCATGGTGCCACAGTACGGAGGATCCAGTGAGCTGTTTTTGGACTTCTCTGTCAGATTATTTAGGCAACTGCTTTCCCGGGAAATACTATTCACATAATGAACAGTCATTGAATGGTCTTTGAAAGCTTTATATATGCATTAAAATAATCATACTGATGGCATGGTCACTTCAGTGCTCTCTGAATATGTTTGTAAGCAACTTTTGATGCCAATAGGTCTGCGTGTGTAAATGCATTACAGTTTTTCTCTGTTGCTTTAGATAAATTCTCAAATGAAAATGGTACTGGACCCTGGATGCTGTTCAGTCAGTTTCTCACAACAGAGCGTGATTTCTCATTTATTCACAAATTTAGGTCCTTATAGTATTAGGTATATTCACTTTGAATTGGCCGAAAATTCAGTAGTATTAGTCGCGTTAAATTAAGTCACGTTTAATTCTTAAAATACCTCCATAGTACATTTTCATGTTGACATCATGACTAAACATATTGGCTGGTCTGTCTCTAGGCCGTCATTCAGAGATTTCACATTTTGGTGGCATTGACTGAATGGCTGACATGAATGAATAGTTTTGGATGGATTTCTTCATTTTGCTGGTTATCCAAATTATTGTGCTGCACTGCACAGGCTGGTGAGGGATATGCAGAAGCAGCTGAGAGAACCTCAAGACTGTTTAGAGAAATTATCCAAAGCAACCAAGAAAAACTAATAGCAAAAAAGCAACGTGTGCAGCTTTCAGCACTTCATGCTTCCAGTAATGATCATGATGGTGATGCTAGTAACAAATCAAGGTAGTTAATAAAAGATCAAAGTTTCCCTTAACTTAACTCTGATCTGTAACCTCCTGGATGTCCACGTTTTCCAGTCATTATGCATTCTTCTGCTCCCCCTAGTGGTTTTCTGGTAGTGAGCCTGCTTTTTCTTTCTCTTTCATTACAGTGGTTTTGTAAAATACAGCTCACAATAAGCGTTACATTCAATAGAATAAATGACGGATGGCATGGTGGTGCAATGGTTAGCATTGTTCCCTCACACCTCTGTCTGGGCTCTGTCACGTTCTCCCCGTGTCCTCGTGCGGTTTTCCCTGGATACTCCGGATTACCCCCGAAAACATACTAAGGTGAATTGGAGTCATGAAGTTTCCCATAGGTGTGAATGGTCTGTGAGGATTCTCTGCAATTGGTTGAAACCACATCCTTAGTTATTCCTTGGGTGGATATATCACTCTTAAATTGGGGGGAGGGGCTGGTGCTGTTACATTGCAGTTTATGAAACAAGATCAATTCATGATTGAGTTTATTTGATGTAATGGAATCTTTTGGGGGCGTCCATTCATTTTTACTTTATTTTTATTTTTAAAGTGGCTTGGAAAGATGAGATCTGTTCTGTTCTCCAAGGCCCCCTTGTGGTCCCAGCCAGGCTATGCAGGGTCCATGCAAAGGAGTGGTTAATAATTCAGCACCAACAGGGCTGAGCCTCTCTCCCACATACTGGCCCTAGGGTAGCTGCACCAGAGAGCACTGAGCAATGCAGTGATATGCAAACACACGCAGAGCGAGGGAGCAGTAAAAGTCTACAGCTTTCATCCGGACCCCTGTTTGTTTTCACCCCTTTCCCTTTATTTTTGCTCTTTTTTTGTTGTTTTATTAAGAACCAAACATTGCTGCAGCTGGTCGCTACGACAACAGTCAGATTTTTGTGCTCCCCGTTGCCTCGGCGACACTGGATTTTTCTATTTGTTTACCCGCTTGCCTGCTACTCTGCAGGAAGTGCTGGATTTGAGCGCCTTCCCTGCCTCCCTCGCTGGAAACATCTCCTCTCGCTTGTCTCCCCCCCAGCCCCAAAGAAGAATGTCTAGAGTTGGGCTCAGGAGGAGGCGACGGTGGTGTCGATCGATCCCATGGACCACGCTCGGCCTGCTGCTGTGCCTGGTGGGGGCCTCGCTGGCCCGGTGGGTCCCTAAAATACCCCACTGTCCCCCAACCTGCTCCTGCACCAAGGACAACGCCTTCTGTGTGGACACCAAGGCGATTCCCAAGAGCTTCCCCCAGGGCATCATCTCCCTGTGAGTGCGGCACCATGAAGCTCCCCATTCTTCTGTCTGTCTGTCCTCACATTCCTCTCTCCCTGTCCTCATGTCCATACTGATATCTGTCCATCTGTCCTCACATTCGTCTCTTTTTGTCCTCACGTCCATACTTATATCTGTCTGTCTGTCCTCACATCCATGCTTATATCTTCCTGTCCTCATGTCCATACTGATATCTGTCCCTCTGTCCTCACAATCGTTTCTTTTTATCCACACATCCATCCTTATATCTGTCTGTCCTCACCTTTGTCTCTCCTTGTGCTCACATCCATAGTTATATCTGTCTGTCCTCATGTTCGTCTCTTTGTCTTCATGTCCATACTTATATCTGTCCTTAAATTCTCCAGTCCTTATGCTCTCATATTGTTCCTGATGCTCATCATGTCTTCATGTTCCTGCCTTTATGTCCTTCCCTTTTGTATATCATGACAGTTTGTTCAGTGTCTCTCTTTATCCAGTGGTCTGTCCTCCTCTGTCTCTCTTTACCATCTGTCTTGTTTGTGTACCTCAGGTTAGGTGGGGCTACCTGTCTCTTTTATTCATTTGGCTTGGCCTCAGTTCCTCTAATGTTATTATAATATTTACAGTAACTTCCTTTTTGTGTACTGAATGAATTATTAATAATTGGAAAGCTGAGTTATATAATGAATGACTACACCCCCTACACAGTGACCTAAATAAAATGATTTTTGCTATCTGGTATTTAGCGAGCAACAGCCATACATGTACTGTTGTGATAACTGTACTTTCACAATTCTGGAATTCCACATTCTCATTGCCTTTATGAAAATGGCTATGTAATTGACGTGTGTGTGTGTGTGTGTGTGTCTGTGTGCAGGGGGGGAGGGGGGTTGAGGGGAGGTTATGTCCCATAATGTGGTAAAATCCTTTTATCCAAAATAATGGTCCCCACAAGCGGAAACTCAATTTCATAAAAATTTGCAAAAACATTTTAAAAAAACTAAAGTATCTGAGTGTCATGTATTTTGCTTAGTTACTTGTGATTAAGGTTAGGGCTGAGCAGGGGTTAAGTTTGTCATTGTTGGGATTAGGGTTATGCCCATTGCGCGTGTGTGTGTGTGCGTGTGTGCGTGTGTGCGTACGTGCGCACGCTATTAAGTGTAGATGTGCAGTTCTGCTGGAGCATAATTTTTATTGACAAAAAGCTGAGTCGCTCTAGAATTTTTAGGAGTTCTTTGTCATTGTGAAAAAGGTCAATAATTAAATTTTATTTAAAAAAAAAAAAAAAAAAAAAACAGCTTTCCTTGACCAAAATGCTTCACATAAGCATAACAAAGGTCCTGGGTTAATTCTTCAGGGCCTGTGTATCTCAGTAGGTTGTGAGGTACAGTTGATGCATTTTTGGTCACTTAAAACCATATACAAATATGGGGCAATGAGCCTCCTGTTGCATTGCAGTGTCTCCTGCTTTCCATGTATGTGCTGTATGGCTCTGCAGATTAGGAATCCATGCCAATGACTGGAAGGTCACTGGATCAAACCCTGTACTGTATATGGTACAGTGATGGGTCCTTTAACAAGGACCTTAACCCCAATTGTTCTTGGGCTGCTTGCTGACCTGTGTTTGTTCCCCAGACGTGATCTCACCTGTGTGTGTGTCTCAGTACACTGGGATAAACTATAACAACTTTGATAGATCCTAAAACTATTGTATTGTAATGCATTGAAAATTGACACACAATACAGATTCGCATTAAGTATCATGTGATGCATAATGTAGATAAGTGGACTGACCATACAATGGAAAAAAGGCTTCTGATTTTTTGAGCTTTTGCTCTTTGACAGGGTGTCATAGTGTGTCCTGTGGAAGCACCGCAGCCATCACCACAGGGGAAAGTCTAATCTATAGTCACAGGAATTGTTTCGTATCACTGAAGGAAATGCATTAGAAGACAAGGGTTTGATAATGACTGTGTCACAAAGACATCATGGTACTGCTGGCCATGGGACATTGAAGCCAGCAGGACAACAGTGGCATTGCTCAGTGTCACATGGGACACCGATGGACTTGTCAGTGACCCACATAGTGTTCTTTTCTTGTTCCTGCAGCACCATGATAAACGTGGGTTTTACTGAGATCCCAGCGGGATCCTTCTCACACCTGCACCTGCTCCAGTTCCTGTGAGTGAAATCTGCACTTTTCTTCACGTCAGAGGAGCTCAGATCTACGTTAAGGAAAAAATATCATTATGCTTGTCAGTTGTCTCTCACTATCACTTATATTGTAACAATTTTTTCTATTGCAGTATTATTAGTTTATAAAAAGTTATAAAGCATTGAGAAACATACAACTGCAGACTATGGGAAATAAAGCAAACACAGGTAGTCTCTTTAATAATAAAATTGACACTTCATTGCCATTTACTCAATTATATAGGGATTTACACTTATACAGGTGAGGCAAATCATTCCAGAGCCCCTGGAGTGGTTTTTGGGGTTGAGGGCCCTGCTATAGAACCCAACTGAGATATGCTGACTCTGCCAGGCATCGGGTTCAAATCAGCAAACTTCCGATCACAGGCCGAACCTGCAGAGTTGCTGCAAGTGTATCCCCCTGTCTTTGTGTCTCTATAGGCTGCTGAACTCCAACACGTTCACTTTGATCGCCAATGACGCCTTTGCTGGCCTCACACACCTGCAGTACCTGTGAGTTCCGCAGTTTCTGGTGCCTCACCTTACTTTCCTCACCTTACTTTTGACAACAACGCAGCAATGCCCCAGCCTGTAACATGCAGCTCAGATCGAGACAGATCCGCTGAATAATACCCATACATCCATCCATTTTCTGAAACCGCTGGTGCTGTGCGGGATCGCAGGGGGTCCAGATCCTATCCCAGAGGCTACGGGCACAAAGCAGGGAACAACCCAGGATGGGGTGCCAACCCATTGCAGGGCACACACACACACACACCTATGGGCAATTTGGTAACTCCAATCAGCCTCGGCATGTTTTTGGCTTGTGGGGAGGAGAACAGAGTACCCAGAGAAAACCCCACGACAACATGGGGGAGATCATGAAAACTTCCAGAGGTGTGAGGCGATAGTGCAATCCACTGCAGCACCGTGCCGCCACGCTGAATAATGAAAGTAACAAAAGCCCCTAAAAGCGCTGGGGATTCAAAAAACCAATTTGCGGCTTCCTGGGGGGGGGCTTCATGTTAGTCAGGTCCTGAAGACACTGTCACTCTGGATGCTGGGGCTAAGGATGATAAAAACACAAAGGCCCAGGCACTGTCATTATGCGCTTTTACACCAAAGTTCCAGTACTTGGTTCTGGTTTATAAGTCCCTCAGCTGTCTTGACCTGAAATTTTTGTAGCTCCCAGCCAATTCTGTGTGTCGCTTTCACACCACGCAACAGGAACTGGGACCTTTATGCTAAATAAGTATGGAAGATGCAAAGAGTTTGTAGGTTAAACTTCGCACATAATTTCATACAAAACTACACTGTCAACCCAAAACAATGGAAGATGGACATTTGTTAGCTATTCGGGGGGTCGATCACGATCAAAACAGGACACAGACTTTTATTTATATTTTAATGATACATGATTTCATAATTCTCATAAAATCTGGCCAGCAGATCAATCTTTAGTTTTCCACAGAATACAAAACGATGTAACTAATTAGTGCTGACAAGTTTCACCGCAGCGATATTAGAGAAAAGTATATTGGATAATGATCGAATTTTCGAATCCAGAAATATCTAGATAAAGCAAAAAAGGTATTTACTGATGCATTAAATGTAATTGGGGCACAAAAATAGTTCCATCTGCTCAACTTGTGCTCCACTACATCTCTATTTCTGTACTTCTGTGTAACTTCCAAATTAGCACTGGTGCTTGTGGTCAGTCAGTCACCAAGCTATCGCTGAGAGCACCTCCCCAGTAATTTGTGTTTGAACAAAAAGTCTGGAGTAGGTACTAATAAAGGGTTCTGGAACTGGCTCAGAGAAACTACCTTCAGGCCGGGTTTCTGCAGTGTGAACACGACAAAAGTTCCTGGTTCCGGAAAAGGTCCTGGTTCCAGACAAAAGTTCCAGTAGTGTGAAAGCACCTATTGACACCAACTCAAGCTTGTTTTTATAGTCACAATAAGGTCTTATATAAAATCTGAAAATATAGTAATAAAAAAATGCAATTAGGATAAAGAATTTAGACAAGCCAGTGTCAGCAGCCCAATCATAAGCATGGTGCGTTGTTATGAGCTAGTTTCCACAATCCAAGGTTATTTGTGTCCTGTTCTGTCCTTTCAGAAGGGACCTTTACTAAAGCATGTCTATAATGCACCGAATGTTTTTAAATGGTTATGTGAATGTGGATCGTCATCTGGAGGCCTTTGCACCTGTCCTTTCTTGTTGGTCCCATCTGTTTTCTTCCATTCAGGTTCATAGAGAACAATGACATCCAAACCTTATCCACACACACCTTCAGAGGACTCAAATCCCTCATTCACCTGTGAGTGTCATTTTGACTTTACATTTGCTGTACCTGCCCATCATAATCACAGAGCAGCTCCTTTTTGCAGCCACACCTGTCTGTTACATAGTTATCATGTCAGACATAGATTTATACATTGTTTTAAAATGTTCATATACTCGACTGTCTATTAGGTAGCTAGATAGAATTTGACATAATCTGTGACACAACAGCTTGCTACAGATAACTAAGCCCATAGACTCTTTTTACTGGCAGGTCTCTGTCCAATAACAACCTTCGGGTTCTTCCTCGGGATCTCTTCAGGCACCTGGACATCTTGACAGACCTGTGAGTACAAAACAGGCTTTATCTGAATTCTATGTACTAACAATTAGATATTTTCTAGAAGCAGTTTAAATTAAGTAACTTGATTCAAGGGTAAAAAAAATGCCACAAAACTTTAAAATATGAAGCACAGATCAGAGGTTTGGACCCCCCTAGCGGTGCCAGTGAAAGTAATTTTTTTTGATGGTTATCATGGTAATTAACCTTTAAGGGAAAAAAAAAGTGGGCAACAGATGTCCACCTGAGTCTGGACCTACACATATGAGATGTTTGGAGATGTAAGGAACTTAGTTAGCTGGTATAAAGTGAGTTCTCAGACCTCTTCTTCTGACTTGTAGACTCCACTATAACTCTTAGCCAGACATCAAGGCTGAAGAACCACACCCTACGGCAGTATTATCCAAACCGTTCCTCAGGGTCCCCCAACTCCATGCCAGACAGTCCGTATTCAGGCAGGGAGCACAAATGCAGGCTGTCTGGGTGCCCCTGAAGACTGGGATAGGAAACACTGTACAAGGGAAAAGAGTAAAAGGGAGCAGCCAGAGATTACCAATAAGCCTTCGAACAGATCTTTCGCAGATTTCTGTCAGTTGGGTCTAAAAATCACTCCCCAATTTCCCCAGGTCATAGAGAATGAATTGTGGACTCATTGTAATAAATGAATTGAATAATGATTTATCACAGAATAAAGGCAAATCATTATGGACAGTACTCACAACTAGTTTTAATGTTTTTATTTATCATGATCAATAATAAATCCCCATGTCATAATTACGTTTTAAATTCCATATTTATACTTCCACATTGGAGAGTGTTTTAATGCCTTGCATAATCAGGAACACTACTGGGACCTCTTGCACATACTAATTGATCTGTTCCTATGAATGCCCATTGTGTAAACAAGCTCTCATAAGTTGAAATCACTTGGCAGAACCTAATTGTTGGATTTACAAGATCCTGGTTTGTCTGGACAGGGACCTTCGGGGGAATTCCCTACTGTGTGATTGCAAGATGAAGTGGCTGGTTGAGTGGATGGGCAGGACCAACACCTCAGTACCACCAATGGTCTGTGCTGACCCACTCGAATTCCGGGGCCGTCGGATCCGTGACCTTGTGCCTGAGGATTTCCACTGCATGAGTGCAGGTCGGACCCATGGGATAATTTTATTGCCCCTGGTTAGGCACAAAATAAAGTTGAGATGGTCCATGTCACTTTAAAAAAAAAAAATGTCAATTTGGAAGATGCCAGGTTCCTACTGAGCGTGTCATGTAGCTGGGATAGTCCTGTATTTTTTCATGGAAATCTTGCTTTAGATAAAAGAATTAAATAGTTCTACTGCTGAAAGCCCCACAACTGCAGCTTCCTGTCAAAATGTCATCACTTCTGTCATGGACCAACTGTGAAAAACTGCTACACCTTTTATTCTCCATGCCTGTCTCCCAATAATGGTTCCAGCTGGCTCATTTTCTGGGTTATGAAGACTATGACCTAGGTCAACTGACATCTGTCAGGGCAAACTGAATTGCAATTTAAAAAAAAATTGGGACATTCTGTTGTTCATTTACTTTGCATATTTTATTAATTTCTTGTGGTTCTTGTGACGACTAAATAATAGGCATGACTGCCTGATTATCTCCACATAGCAAATATCTTTTTTAATGTTCAAAACTTAAGGTGGTCTGTGCAACTCCTAAATATTGGTCAATTTCATTCATTTTTTCCACCATTTTTTATTACAAGGGGGGATAAGAATGCACTTGTCTCTTTTTCATTTTCAAAAAAACAAAATTTGTTAGCCACCCCAACAAATATACATACATAGCAGTCCTAGCCATGGCAGGGAAGCTCTTTCTGAGTTTGCTTGAACAGGCATGTGTGGTTCTGTATCGTCCTGTATCTTTTACCTTGTGGAAAAAGCCTTGTCAGGAAATGGAGGTACTGTTGAGCTTTACTGATTAGAGTGGAAGAGTTCACAGACCAGGAGAGGACCTCTGTGAAGTCTAGTCTGAGAAACCTGAAGCTGCACCTCCATTTATGTGGACTGGGAGATGTGGCTCGTGTCTGAATTTCCTGAAGTATATTATTAGTTATTTGGTCTTCTTGGTCTTGAGGCAAATTTTTTGATGGTGTTTGAGGCTGAGATGGGGTTGCAGTCATGGGTGACGAGTTCATGGAGCAACAGCCCAGCACGCAGCCCTGCAAAACTCCTGTACTTAGTGTTAAGGTGGCAGAGAAATTATTGCCCAGTTTGACAGTTAGTCTTTTAACAAGAAAATCCAGTGCCCAGTTGTAAAGTTATGTGTTTCAGCTGAGATTGTGGAGTTTTGATATCAATTGTTTAGGAATTATGGTGTTGAATACCAACCTGAAATTAATAAACAGCATTCTGAAACAGGTGTGGGGCTCTATGTGGTTAAGAATGGTGTGGAGAACAGATGAAATAGCACCTTCAGTAAATCTTTCCTCTTTACGTAAACTGATATCAGTCCAGGGCCGGTGCAATTTTGTATTTGATGTAGCCTAACACCAGTCTCTCAAAGCACTTCCTGATAATGGGTATTCTTATCCCAGGGTGGAAGTCATTGCTTATACATGTTACGAACTTTGGCACAGGGATGATGGTTGTGGCTTTTAGGCAGTTGAGTATTACAGCAAGCAATAGAAAGAGGTTGAAGATGCTTGTGAGGCCATCTGTTAGCTGGTCAGCACACTCCTTGAGGACCCATCCTGGCACACCACCCAGTCCAGGGGCTCTTCCCACGTTGATCTTTCACAGGACTTGCTTGAAACCATGGGTGCACACTGCCAACATTTCATCTACTGTGGATTCTCCATGTCAAAACGTGTGTAGAAGTGTGTGCATTTAGGTCATCTGGCAGGAGTGTGTTGGCTGTGATGAAGTGTGTGTTGTTGCTTTTGTAGTCTGCTGACAGCCTCCAGCTTGGCCGTAACTCTGTAAAGCTCTGGCCAAAGCTCTCGCCAAAGCAAATGATGCTGAGCCCCAACCAGCACCAATGCAAGGGCACTGCTCTTGTACACCCATTTTCTAATAAATTACACTTTCCTAGGGGAACACTTTGTGAACCAATGCATGGGGAATGATGGAGTGCACAGGGTTTACGGAATAAGTTGATGCTGGATAATGATTTGGAGGCATATCTACACTCTTTTGAAGTAGTTGCTAACTGAGATGGTAAAACCCAGAGGAGTAGAGTAATATTCTTTACTCCGTTCTCACAGGATATACTCAGAGGGCTTATTATGAGCTCTTAATTATGGATACTGGGCAATACTCCCTGCTGAAGTGGGAGATCCTGTGCACAGACAGTGCAGGAATTCCATGAATGGAAATATATCTTGATAGTGTCCCATCAAACTCAAATAGTGCATTACCCACTTCTGTGCTCATATGTTACCAGCAACAGAATTCTAGCAAATTCTAGGACATAATGATAAATTTCTGACATCATCTCCTGCTACGTGGAAAGATGATCAACATTATAAAACTACCCAGAGAATTGCTGCTACCCTGACAATCATAAATGACACTGCAGAAAGAAGTGTCCAGGATTCCAATCAACTGTTGACCAAAAAGGAGGAACAGAAGCAGTTCTGCAGGAACATCAGAAGCATGAAAACTGTTTTGGCTGTTTGATCAGATGGAATAGGCCTACCTGAATGAAATGCTGATTGCTGCAGCCAAAGGAACTCGCAGCCACCCAGATTGTGAAAGAAGTGACCATAAAGACTATGTGCAGGTCCTGAAAAATGCTTTACAGGTGATCATTGGATTGTTGGATTGTAGAAGTTACCAAGTGGGTGGATGCCACCTGTTCTTTGGCCCAACACCTCACAGGAGATGAGAACTATGCTAGAGCAGCAGCTTTCACAGGTGTCTTTCCACCATAGAAGACTGATGCCCTAAATCTTCCAGAGAAGGTGCATAATTTATGGGAGTTGTCTCTAAAACCTGAAAGGTGGGATGTATGGTGCATGGGTAGACCACCTGGCCTTCTACAGCCTCCAATGTCAAGCTGTAGGCACACAGTGCTGAACTTACTCAGGCTTCCTCAGATGCCTTGCCAGGGAGTCACCCTATGAATAGATAATTGCCCCTCATGTGTATTGCTTCCAGATACTCTGCACCACCAGCCAGCTGGAACATCCCATAAAAACCTGGGATCTGAAGACCTGTACCCTTACTGATTGAGAGAGTTGTCCAGTGAATAGGTCTGCTATCAAGAAAAATGGAGACAAGGTTACCCGTTCTTCAGAATTTACAACCAGTGCTCGAAGGAGAGGGGGAAATGGAGAAGCCAAATGCTTTCTGATCTATTCCAGCTGGTAACCCAGGAATCTTGTGAAGGCTCAGAAAGAGGACAACTGCCTCAAGCACTGCTGGGAACAGGGCTTAGTTATCTATGGGGTACCCAGAGGGAAGGCAATGCTCCTGCAACATTACTTGGTACACAGTAACCTCCTCTATTTCATGTTAACCTGAGGGGAAAAGGCAACCAATCTGCTTGTACCGAGGTTCAAAATGATCCTGCTCCCCATCATTATGCTGTCATTAGAGTGACTTGGGATGGACATCTTAGGGTCACTGCTAAACTCTGCCAGGGGATATGAATATATTGCTGTGTTGTTTGACTATGCCACACTATAACTCAAAGCCATCTCACTCTGGAAAGCTAGCTATGACACCCAAAATGGCTATCCTGAAAGACAATGTAAATGACCAGGAAATGACATTTGTCTACAGGCTCATGCCTGACCTCTACCATCTGCTCTGGATATCCCACCACCAGAGCTCTGTCTACAATCCCCAAACTGATGGACTAGTCAAGCAGTTCAGCCAGACTGTGAAGTGGATGCATCACAAAGTGGTGGATGAGGATGGGCATAGCTCAGAGCTCCTGATCCTGTATGTGCTGTTCACCATATGGGGGATCCCAACATTTTTTTTTTTACAGACTTCACCCACTCTGGGTCCAGATTGGCCATTAGGAGTACCTGAAGATTTCCCTGTGGCCAGGCAAGCCATTCAGAGAAGACCTTTAAAGAATCGGATGGTGAAACAAACTATACGGACCATATACAGTTTAGCTAAATAGCTCATTTGCACTGCATTGATGAAGCTGAATCAAAGGAGATGAAAGGTACAACCAAGAAGAAGATAGAGAGCAGAAGAAAATCCCTCAAAGAGAAAGTTGAAAAATATTCAAAAATTTTTGACTTGTACAGGAAACAAAAATGCAACTAGCCATGGATGGTTTCAGGTTGGGTGGCCAGATGTCCAGCTTTAGGGCAAACAGTTCAGTTTTTACAGTAGCTTGATATTCTGTCTGGTGCAAGGTCTTGGTGGATTCTTATTTGTTCTCCTCTTCACCATTAATGTAATTTGTAAGGGGTAGAGTATAGCTACTAAATAAATAAATAGATTGACACCCTATGATTTATTTTAATTATTATTTAAGAATTATTTTATTGTGCCCCACGTGCTTGAGAAATGGAAACAGAGGAAATTTTTCTTCCTCCATGGTGGTCTGGTGTTGAAAACATCCAGGATATGGAAGAAGAATCAGATAGGTGATGCTTGTAATTAAAGAAAATCCGAAGGAGATCTTTCAAGCCCCGCAGCGGTGGATTCTTGTCCTTGTGCCTATGTCATCAAAGAGTGGGTGGAACCATCAAACTGCAGAGTCAACCCATGTTCCAGTGGCTCAAGGATGAAGGCCTCCTGACTACAACAGACTTATTCCTTTGCCTACCTACATGATGTAATCACACCCTAATATCAGGCCTAAAAAGTGTCAGGTGGGGCTCACTTGAGCCTAAAACCTCACCTTTCAGATTGAAAACAGGCTCCTGATGTCCCAACAGAAGACGGTCACCAGCAGCCAGGATGCCCATGGCTAATGATTAATACAATGGTGCATGTCTTCTTGAGGTTGGCAGGATATTATAGGCATTTATTTCTTAGTATTACTCCTTAACTGTGCTGCTCTTAGACCTGCTGAAATGGGGGACTTCAGAGAAGGTCAGGTCCACATGCCACCCTTGCTGCCAAAATAATTTCTTTGTGCCCCTGCTTTGGGCTGGTACTTTATGTAAAATAGTGTATCCAACATTGGCCTCAGTCCTGTGCTGGCCCAGGATTTTGTTTGTGAAGAACACCTTGCAATGTACCAGAACAGGAAACTTGCAGCCTGCAATCCTACAGTGGAAAGGAAAGCCTTGGCCATCAAGTGGGCCATCACAGAGCATGTCCAGGTGACACTTCTCTTTCATAATGGACCAAACCCGTGGATGGCCCACACCAAGGGCAATAACGTCAATGTCACTTGCTGGTTCCTGCCTCTCCAAGACTTCTCATTCCAGGTGCCGCACCAGCCAAGAAGGGTAACACATCAAGGATGACTTGTCCTGTTTGCATTTTCTGGGGGCTGGGGCCCTGGTTGGCTCGGAGCAACTTTATGGGGGTGGGAGTAGCACAGCCTCACTTCCACAACCCAAAAATTCTGCTAATCCAGCTAAAAGACAGGTGTTGGCTAACCTTGGTCAGGACCATGGACAGCACACTTTCAGCACCTCAATTTTGGATCAGCTGGCTTCCACTTAAAGCTACAGCTGGCTTCCATTTAGGAAGCCTCCCTCAGTGAAAAAGGAAGACTCACTGCCAGAGACAGTTTGGCAAGCATCTGGCAACGGCTCTGTAATACCATCCTCAAAACGAATGAAGTCGAGCCCCAGTTAAAGCCAACTACCACCCCAAACCCTCTGAATCAGTAAATATCCAATTTTCTACCTCACATGTATACATGTTTTCTAATAAATACAGCCTTCCTGGGGCAACACATTGTGAACCCATGCTCACCTATGTGCCTCAGTTCTTGTTGCTGCAGTGCAGAATATGCAAGCGAATGGCCTTTGCCAGTTGAAGCAGTAGGGCTAATTGAGGAATATTGCTAACATCTGTTATAACAGTTAGTACAATGGATGTTAACCATGGTCCCTTGGCAAATGTTCATCTGTTATTATGTCTCTTACATGATATGTAGTATAAACCTACAAAGAACATTTTGGTTCAATGCACAGTGAATACTGTAAAGGTATTAAAAATGTAGTTTTTAATAATCAAGCAGAGGAATATAAAGATGACAGCTCTGTCCCACCTCCTCTTCCCACCAGACTTTGCAGTGTATGAAACCTTCCCTTTCCAGTCAGTCTCCGTGGAGTCCTACACCTTAAATGGGGAGCTGTTCATCGTGTTTGCGCAGCCGTACACAGGAATCTGCACACTGTATGTGTGGGACGACATGGGGCAGGCCTTCAGGAAACACTACAACATCACCTGTGAGTCTGAGATGGTTTAGGAGTGGAGTGAACCGTGGTGACATTAAAAGAACCTGTCTCACAATTAAAGTTGGTCTTAATGTTAGACTTCCGTTTAAATATTTGATTCAATATTCACTGTTCACCTCTTATAGGGTTTAGTTAAGAGGAGATGGAGATTGTGACCTCACGGATACATGGCATTTCTTTTTGATTGAGCAATGTTGCAGTGTAACTTAGTTGTTTTGTGCTGATTTTGTGTTTTAGCTCATTCAGCTATCCACTGCAAACCTGTGGTCATCAATAACATGGTCTTCATGGTGCTGGCTCAGCTGTTTGGGGGATCCTACATTTACAAGTGAGTTTTCATCATTATCTACAAAGTTGTTGGTTGGAATCCAACCCCTGGGCAATTTGTATGTGCATGTTTTCCTTGTGTTTGCATCCGTTTTCACCCTGAGCATTCCACTGTCATTCTGCAGTCCATCATATGGTTAAATGAATCGGTACAGTATATCTAAATTCCCAATAGTGTGAAAGTGTGTACTCTGTGATGGACTGGCGTCCTATCCTGCGCGTCTTACCACAGTTACTGTGTTAACTGCTTTGGCATGTATCATAATTCACAAAAAAAGATAAATCATAAGTTATACAAGTATTTTTGGTGAATAATGCTGCAAATAAAGCTTGAAGAAAGTTGTGCGATTGTATAACAGGCATTAGATCCAGTTACTCTTGTTTTATCAGGTGGGAAGAAGCTTCCCAACACTTTGTTAAGATCCAGGACATCGACACAGTGCGTGTCCTGAAGCCTAACTTTGTGGAGACTTTCCAGTTGGAAGATGATTTGTTTTTTGTGATGGCTGACAGCTCCAAAGCTGGCTTGACCACCCTGTACCGCTGGAACAGCAATGGCTTCTACTCCTACCAGTCTCTGCATCCATGGCATCGTGATACACATGTGGAGTTCCTTGAGGTAGATGGCACACCATGGCTCATTTTGTCCAGCATCTCCCAGCCTCCAGTTATCTACAAATGGAACCGGAGCCGGCGTCAGTTCGCCTTCTCTGGTCACCTGCCTGACGCGGCAGATGTGTGGATGGTGAGGCATTTCAACGTCAGTGGTACTCTCTACCTATGCCTCGGGCGCTTCATTGGTGACTCTCGTGTGCTGCGTTGGGAGGGTCAGCAATTTGTGGAAGTTCAAACCCTGCCGTCACGTGGCTCCAAGGCTGCATTACCCTTTACCGTTGCTGGCCGCCAATATCTGGTCCTGGGCAGCGATTACTCCTTTTCCAGGGTTTATCTGTGGGACAAAGAGGAGCAACGCCTCTGGCCCTTTCAGGAGCTCAATGTGCGTGCGCCTCGTGCTTTCAACCTAATCTCCATCAAAAATCAGGATTTTCTGTTTGCAGCCAGCTTCAAGGGCAGTACTTTAGTCTATGAACACTTGATGCTGGACCTCAGTGCCAAGTAGACCTAGGAATAACTAACTGGTGATTCTATGCATTGAGTGTGTGTGTGTGTGTGTGTGTGTGTGTGTGTGTGTGTGTACACTACACTAGATGGCAGGAATAGAGTGATATAGAGAGAGTCATAAAGTGTGATAGTGTGGATTGTTAGTCTGGGGGATGTGACATGCAGTGACAGATTTACTCAAGTTGCTCAGAATTAGTCGTGAAATGCCATTACTCTTATGATAAAAACATCTGAATATTTGAGTACAGCCAGCAGGGTAACTGTGCAATCAGCATTTTATACTATACAGACAGGAAACTAAGTAGTTAAGATTCCAATTACGATGTCATGGAGTAAGTAAAAGCAGGTTTGTTCAGCCATGAAAGGTTTTATTAATGCTGTGGAGTGGAAGCCTAGATTTTCATGTGCTATCTTGCCTTGAACCTTTAGAAGGCAGCCAGTCAATATGAGAGCTAAATAAAGTAATAGTTTAAGCAACAGCTTTTATCTTATCTAACCGTAAAGCTGGTGTGCCTTTTAACTGAGTACGAGTGTGTTTGTGGGTGTCTCAGCTCGTTGCTCTTCAAAACAGAAAGTATGTATGTCTCTTGTCATATGCTGAGTAATAATTTCCACACTTAGTTTAGTAGTACAGGCAGCAGTCACATCATCTGTCAGTTGTCGTTGGAAGTTCCCTAGTGCTGGAGTAATGTAAGTATCTCACAGCTGTAGGTGGTGGTTGGGTCGGTAGTGAGGGACGCACTGGTTCTTTTGGGCAATGGCTTGTATGCTGGAGTATGTGAGAAGAGTACGTGTTTCCTTCAAACAGACTAGGAATGAAGAAAAGAATGCATTCACTTCAAAAATCCAACAACAGAAATGACAACATAACTGCAAGCCAGTAAATTTAGTTTTAGTATATTTAAGTTACCCAATGAAATTTATCAATGTCTTATAATATATTCCATTTTCATCATAGTGTGTTTCTCACTTAGTGTTGAAGAATAAGATGACATAAAACATGAAAGCGGAAGGAATCAATATTCAGTGGACTCCATGTTACTGAAACTAATTTACATACTTTACTTCGTCCCAAAGGACAGGCAATCTTCAACATTAATGCATGAAATTAACTCTTTGAGATTTAATAATGTAATTTTTCTTGTATACAATATCATTTTGTATTTGTGGGACAGTAAATAACATGAGAAAATGCATGTTGTAGAGTGTTTGCTAAAACTTTCATGTTTTACATTACATATTACTGTTTATTTTTTTTAACAACGCCAAAAAAAGTTTCCTTCCTTTGTTCTCTCTTACCACTGGGTCTTCCTTAGTTAGTTCTCAGCCAAAATACAACAATACAAGAAGACATGTTGGTGTGAAAATAAATTATCATAGAAATAAAATCACTGTATTAAAAATACTTATTTTTAGACTTGGGTATTTTGTGTATGACTTTATGTACAAAGCTTGGTATTATTAAAAAAAAAAAAAAATTCTACTTTTTTCCATAATTTTTTGGCTAAAAAATAAGAAAACACCCATGAGCCAAAACATTATGACCACCCCAAAGTGATGTAAATAATGTTAAGGTTTGGGATGTATTAGATGGCAAACCCACATTCAGAACTCAGTCAATGTGTTGAACACAGTCGGGGGTAAAAGCCTGAATGTAGCTTTGACAAGGGCCAGATTGTTATGGCCGGAGAGTGGGTTGTGGTCACAGCATCTCTGAAATGGCAAGTTGTGGAGTGCTTATGGTCAGTATCTACTGAGTGCTGTCCAAGGAGGGAAAATCAACGATCCACCAACAGGATGTTAATTATACAAGAGTAAAAGTGAAAAAACAATTCATGAAAGAGAGAAAGATAATTGCCATCTAGTCAAGAGGAAATAGTTCCTAAGTCTGGGTGCTGAGCAGATGAAGACCTCTACACATGACATTAACATTCAGCACAATAACAACACAATTCATGATAAATACACAGAGACCTATTTACACTGCTGGCGCAAGTCCAGCATGCCACCTAGCTGTCCCCCTCCTAGGTGGTTACCCATCCTGGTACCACCACAAGGTCCTGATAGCATTCCGAGCAGCGGTGAGTGTTTTGCGACTCCTGGGCCCCAAGTCCTCCACCATTCTCCTCAGTCCTATCTGCCAGAATACTCACTGCAGGTGTTGGAGATGGGTGCTCTGAGTGGGCCAAGGGCCAGTATGGAATCAGACGGTCACAATGAAGCATGACAGTCCTGTGCCACTCTGGCATCCACACCTGGTACACCACCTAGGAGACTTGCTCCAGAACCTCCCCAGGGGCCTGTCTAGTGGCTGTCCAGCTTGGGCAACCACCCCTTCTTCCTGACAGGGCAGTACATCCAAACAGAGCCCCTGGGCTGGAAGGCCCCGACAGCAGATGCCATATGCACGCTTTTATCTAGCTATGGCCACGTCTGGACGTTGCCTAGCCAGCTCGTGCATGATCGGCATGTGATCCTGGAGCTGGCGCAGGTAGGCTAGTCCCGATGATGCCGGCAGTTCTGGCTCAAGGGGTGAGCCGAACAGCAGCTCCGCCGGGGTCAGCAGCTCACGGCCCCAAACATGAGGGCAGTGGGGGGTACAGCTACTCGATCAGGCTACGGACGAGGGAAGGTGGGTTTCCCAGTTGCGCTGGTGCTTGGTAACAAGTACATGATGCCCAGTTGCCAGCATACCTCATGGGTCACCTACTGTACACCTCGCACTTTCTCCCCTGATCACTGCACAGATCCTCTGGGACCCCGAAGCAGCGGAAAAACTCCTCCAGGAGCTTTGCTGCTTTGGCCACACTGTGAAGTGATCCATGGCTACAGGTATGTAGCAGTTCCCGGCCTTGGTGCAGGGAAAGGGGTACAGGACATCCATCCACACATGTTCCATGGGGGTACCCATCAGGTGCAGCTACAGGGGAGCCGAGGACTGCCAACCAGGACCCTCCTGAGCCATGATTGCATCACAGCAGTGCACAAACAGCTCGGCATCCTGTCAGCAGTTGGGCCAGTAGTGCTGCTGCAGCTTTTCCAACATGATCTTTGCCCTGAAGTACTTGGCCCCTATGCCTCTGTGAACCAACCTCAGCAAGAAGGGGCCCAGGACTCCAGGGGTTGCAGCAGCTTTCCTGTGCCATATGGAGATCTCCAGTGCCTATACAGTAGACCTTCATGCTCCTCCAGGGTGCCCAACTGGGATTGATAGGCCAGCCCAGTCGTCCACCCTCGTCCAGCCCCTGCCTTGTCCAGGGGTCACTGCACTACTCCGAGATGAGCTGCTGACGATGTCCTGGCAGGTTCTGCTGTCTGGTGCTGTGCAGATGGCAGCCATAACCTCAGCAAGCTGGTCCCACTCCTTCACCAAGCAGCAGATAATAATTCTTGTGTCTGGTAATACTGTGGGAGGTGTCAAGTCTGGCAGACGGCAAATTCTCAAGTTAACATAATTGAAGTGGTTGCCATATTGGATATTATTTAAAGGTTTAAAATGTTGCTCTGGCTACAAATTTTGTCCCATCTTCAGCAAATTTAGCACAGATGATCTTCAGACCAAGCCTCACACAAGGTTTCAGAGGGGTTTTTGATTTTCAAAACCCTTCATCAGTCACCACCAAACAAAATAGGGGGTGAAGCTTGGTTATATCAATGCTTTGATGTTTTGACAACAAACTTGGTATTTGGACTCACGGCCACTTCCTGACAATGTGCAACAAATTCTGTATCATCTGACCACTGGACAAACTGCCACAAACAAAAATATGTTTCTGTTGATACGTTTTGACGTATTGGCCTTATAAAAGTGGTTGTTATGCCTGAGGATTGTCAGGATCTGTCTCTGCCAGTCCCCTCATGTCTCTGTTTTGCCAGCAGATGTCGCTGGCCATCCCAAATACTCCTAATGATTCCAAGCCTAGTGTCTCAATAACTCACACCTGTCTCCCATTTGTAGCTCATTACCTGTGTATATATGTACCTGCCCGTTCCTTGTTCACCTGTCAGTCATTGCTAGTGCTGTGTGTTTATTCCCACTTGTGGTTCGCTACCTATCGTTTCTATTGGTACATATGCCTATTCTGCTTCTCTACAAGCTTCACTCTATGTTACTAATATATTCTGTCCTACTGAGATCCTCTCTACCAATACCCAGACTGTTTCTAGTACTCTTGATGTAGATGCACCCATTAAGCACAGGTCTGTCCCCTTCTCTCATTCCTCTTCTTGGCTTACTCCAGAGCTTCGAGCCCTGAAGGCAACTAGCCGCAGCCTACAATCATTTCATAAAAGCACAGGCTTCACTGTATATTCCCTATATGATGAAATATAGATCTGCTCTAAGTGAAGCTTATATTTACTATTGTAAATGTATCAGTCATTAATAGTTCAAATTGCAGGCCTAGAACACTATTTCTACTATGAACAGGCTTGTTAATGGTTTTGTATTAACACCATCTGCTACTCTGCAGCAAAGCCTGCTAAAGAACTGTCTGCCCGATATCTCTGCCCCTAACACATTTGATAAACAGATCTCTACTGTCGGGCATCATTCCAACAGGTCTAAAAACTGCTGTAGTTACGCCAGTTCTCAAGAAACCTGGTCTGGACCCAACTGATCTATTGGCCGATCTCTAACCTGCCATTCATCTCCAAAATACTAGAAAAAGTTGTTGCTGCCCAGCGTCAGTCTCATTTAGTGTCAAACAACCTTTACAAACGTTTCCAATCAGACTGATTTTTTATTTTCAAAACCATTTGTCCATTACAGCTTATTAAATTTGGCAGTGAAGCCACCAAGAAAGAAGTTAGCTCATATTATGGTCAATTTTTGATCAATTGTCAAGAAATTCGCCGTGATTGCATATAGCCATATCCATGCCAAAATGATATGAAGTTGTTTCCATGGCAACTATGCCCTGGTAATGTGCTTGGGCCCATAATTTCAGCTATCTGTATATACATATGAATTGTTTTCCCTTCTTTTGTCATTATCATTCTGTTTAGGGTTAATTATGCCTATTAGGAAGCATTCTTGATATATTACAAAAAAATTGAGGAAACTGTGAAGTTTTGAGTGTAATGTAATTTAAGCGCAAGTATCTTTGTCCGGGGTAGGGGTGTATTGTATGGGATGCCTGCATCCTCTGGTAGGGTGGTGGATTCTGACCAATTCTCTTTGGGAACCCCTCTAAGTAGGAGTGTAAGAAGGGGAATGTTCTCTGGGAGTGGGGATGTGCGGGATGCGGGATATAGGGCAGTACCTTGCTGGCAGGTTTTCACTAATGCTGATATAGAGGCGATGACATCAGGGACAGGATTGGGCTGGCAGATTAATTAGCAAAGCGAAGAGCCTGTAGACGGTTGGCTTCCAGTGCAGCCCAATGTGACACCCAACCTGGTGGGTATCCCATGGAACTATGAAAGGTTTGGTGGTGCTAATAATGGACAGTCAACTAATTCTCCTTGGGGCAGTTGGGTCATAAGAGCCAATATACAGAAGCCCCCATTCTTCAGAAGATATGAGTCGGATAAATACTCCATAAGGGAGTGGGAGGAGATTATGAAATCATATCTGTGATGTATAGGATGCCCTAGGAGTGCTGCAGTCACAGAAGTAATTCAAATGCTCTTTGGGAGGGCTCAGGAAGTGGTCGGAACATCTCTGCGGATATAGAGATTCCTCCCATCCTTGAGTTTGTGTTTAACATTGAAACAACAGTTCAGTGAAGGGTTGTACTCCAGCACCCCTTTAGCCAATTTTTATACAACTCTCTCCAGGAAGTGAGAGTCACCTTTTGGTTACCAGCTACAGCTGAATATAGCTGCAGAGGTTGCAGAAGAACATGCCTGTAGTCTGTAGTCAGGAGTTGGTGGTTGTGTTCATTCGCCACCGCTCAGATAGTGAACTGTCTCTTTGTTTTAGAAGTATGCCATTGCTACAGTGGTCAGCTCTTGAAGTGCAGGAGAGGCTAGCGGCATCTCACAGCAAAAGGAAAGGGCAGATGAGTCTGCTGGGGCATGTTGCCATGACTGTGGCTCAGAAGCTAGAGGCTGCTGAGGTTGAGGTGGCTGATACCTCATCTGCACCCCAGGAACAAGCTGAAAAGTGGTTACTAGAAGGATGGGTTGAGCATGTTCTAGGGTTATTGGAAAGGGTACTAGTTAAGAACTTTTTGAGAACTTAGAGTTTTCTCCCACTAGAAGTCTTGCACTAAACCCTCTTCCAGATTGAGCTATGAATGGGAAAGGTTGTAAAGTGTGTAATAATGATGATGATACCCAAGGGTAAATTATCTTTTTGCCTACCCCATTTTGCTCTCTATGACAAACAAACATATATGTAGGTGACGGCAAGTTTAGCAGTGAAAGGCAGTCATCTGCAGTGGTACCTATGGAGCTGGG